CAAACCCAGATCTGGGTCTTCCTCTATCAAACCCAGATCCATCTACAACGCAAGAATCAGGGATTAGATTTTGCTCTGCAAACTCCGAATCTTGTAACCCCATAACATGAATCGTGGCCCATATTATTTTCAACCCAAAGAAGTCCTATCATCAAGCCCAATCCTCTCTGCAACTAGACATACACTCGCTGAAATCAACACAGAAACCAGCGAGCACTGGTTTAAAGAGAACCAAAAATTCTAGTTCCAGTTCCATCAAGACAAAGAACAATAGCAAAATCAGGACCAAAAATCAACCACAAGAGTTTGAAAAAACAGAGCAGACCGTGCAGGCGAAGACCAGATCTATTTGAGCAATGATTACCCACTGAGCATTCATCCAAGAAACATACCAGAGCTGGTGATTTGAGCGGCCAGGTGGTGGTGTCGTTGGTGCTGGTGAACGTGCTGAACTGATTTTGAAAAGAGAGTACAGGGATCACAAAAACAGAGACAGCGACGATGATGGAGACAACGCCGACGATGGAGATGAAGATCACGATGGGCGGGTTCCACCGCACAAGTACCTGGCACAGAGGAGAGGATCGTCGTTTTCGGTTCATGAAGGGATAGGATGGACTCTCAAGGGTAGAGAAAAACCCAGATCGAACGGACTCTCAAGGGCAGAGAAAAACCCAGATCGGACGGACTTTAAGGGTAGAGAAAAACCCAGATCTGGGTTTGAGAAAGGAAGAAGAAGAGAGAAGAGAGAAAGACAAAGAATAAGAAGAAGAAGGATGAGCAAGGAAAGGTAGGAGGAAAGGAGGAAGAAGATGAAATTTGAGAGTGAACCCAGATCTGGGTTTGCGGAGGTAAGGGAAAAAGAAAGGTAAAGGAGAAAGAAAGTGAAAGAGGAAGAAAGAGATGATGTGGATGGAAAAAAAGATATTAAAATTTTTAAATTAAATAAAAATGCCAACTAGGATGGTCAACTAAACTTTTTTTTTCCATGTCATTAATTAAACAAAAAATAATTGATTTGCTGGCAAATTAACGTGCCACCTGTCATTTAACTGACGGAAGGACCATTTTGGTACCAAAAATGAAAGTCTAAGGATAAATTTGGTACTTTTTAAAGGTGAGGGACAATTTTAGTACCAAAGTGAAGAGTTGAGGGACCAAAATGGTACTTAAACCAAAAAAAAAACAGAAGCTGAGAGTCGAATGTTGATGCTGAGAGTCGAATGTTGATGCTAAGAGCCGAATGTTCATGCTGAGAGTCGGATGTTTATGCTGAGAGCCGAATGTTGATGCTGAATGTTCATGATGAGAGTCGAATGTTGATGCTGAGAGGCGAATGTTGATGCTGAATGTTCATGCAGAGAGTCGAATGTTG